GTAGTTGATTAATGTTCTTTACATATAGCAGGTACCTGTTGATTATACTATAGCTATAGCAGGTACTTGTTGAATTTCATATATATATAGCAGGTACGTGTTGAATTTCTTTTTGTTATAGTAGGAACTTGTTGTATATCATAGTTCAAGCCGGTAATTGATGAATGTCCAATATTATTACTAGGTAGATGATGAATGTCCAATATTATTACTAGGTAGTTGATGAATGTTCTTTACATATAGCAGGTACCTGTTGATTATACTATAGCTATAGCAGGTACTTGTTGAATTTCATATAGATATAGCAGGTACGTGTTGAATTTCTTATTGTTATAGTAGGAACCTTTTGAATGTCCTATACATATAGCAGGTACTTGTTGAATGTCTAATTGTTATAGCAGGTACTCGATGAATTTCCTATATCTATAGCAGGTACTTTTTGAATATCCTCTCGGTATAGTAGGCTCTTGTTGAATGTCCTAGACATATAGCAGTTACGTGTTGAATATGCTTTTTTATAGTATGAACTTGTTGAATGTCCTATATTTATAACAGGTACTTGTTGAATATCCTATATTTATAGCAAGTACTTATTGAAAATCATATTGGTATAGTAGGTAGTTGTTGAATAGCCTATATATTTAGGAGTTACGTGTTGAATATCCTATATATATAGCAGGTACTTGTTGAATGTCTTATAGTCATAGCAGGTACTTGTTGAATGTCCTATAGTTATAGCAGGTACTTATTGAATGTCCTAAAGTTATAGCGGGTACTTGTTGAATATCATATAGTCATGGCAGGTACTTGTTGAATGTCCTATAGTTATACAGGTACTTGTTGGATATCCTATTGCTATAGCAGGTACTTGTTGAATGTCCTATAATTATAGCAGGTATTTATTGAATGTCCTAAAGTTAAAGCAGGTACTTGTTGAATATCATATAGTCATGGCAGGTACTTGTTGAATGTCCTATAGTTATAGCAGGTACCAGAAATAAAGGTAGGTATGGCCTCTAAAATGTTCCATAGCACTTATACCCTTAGGAGTGTGTCAGGAAAGAGAAGGGGATTGGGGTATTCTTGTATGGCACATAGCTGAAGGGGGATTTTCTCGCTGTGTTGAAGACCCATTGGTGGCCTTCGGCTGTTTTCTGCTCTATGGTCGGGCTGTTGTCTCTTTGACATTTTCCCCATTTCCATCCTCAATTTATTTTTATGCCCCACCTACGATAGTAGAGGGGCATTATGTTTTCTGGTCTGTGCGTCCGTTCGTCCGTTCGTCCGTCCCGCTTCAGGTTAAAGTTTTTGGTCAAGGTAGTTTTTGATGAAGGTGATGTCCAATCAACTTGAAATTCAGTACACATGTTCCCTATGATATGATCTATAATTTTAATGCCAAATTAGAGATTTTACCCCAATTTCACGGTCCACTGAACATAGAAATGATAGTGCGAGTTGGGCATCCGTGTACTATGGACATATTCTTGTTTTATCTCTACTATTGCCCGCTGGGAAAACTAAGAGAATCTCCATTGGGGCCATGGTATTAGAAAATGGTAATGGTCTCTAAAATGGAATATAGCATTTAAAACCCTACAACTGTACGAGTTTGTCAGCAAAGGTTAATGGGGACCCGGAATGTTGCATAGTCCAACTTTTATATTGCCTGCTGTCCAAATTAAGAGATTTTCTACGTGGGCCATGGGAATAGAGGTAGAGGTTGGCATGTCTGAAAGCAATTAAAGCTTAGACCCATACGTGTGTGTCAGCAAAGAATGGGAGTTTGGGTATCCTGGTATGGCAAATATGCCAACTTTCCTATTCCCCACTGGCCAAACTAAGATATTTTCCATGTGGCCCACGGTTACCAGAAGTAGAGGTAGGCATGGTCTCTAAAATTACCCATAGCACTAGACCTGTAAAAATTTTGAAGCATATGGTAGGAGGTGTCTGGTTTGTCACAAAGACCACATAAACTATCACCTGCTGGCCAAAGTAAATGATTCACCACATGGGCCATGTTATAGAGGTATAGGTAGAGTTATGCATGACCTCTATTATGGACCAAATCATTTATACATTTAAAAATTATAAACCAAATTTATTAAAAAATATCTTACACAGTTATTTTTTCTGAGACTTATTTTTCTACATTCCAATTCACTATGACAGCATGTTTTTTGTTGTCTCTTAAACACCACAAAGGACCTCATTTGAGCACAAAAAAGCACAATGTAGCACATAGGACCACAAAGGACCTTATAATCATTTTTTTGTAAGGAAATAATATTTTTTTAAATCTCTATTTCAGAAATGTCAATATATGCTTTGCTTTATCAAATTTTATTTTGGACAAAAACAAAGCATCTACAGAAATTTTCTTACTTTATACGAATCTTAAATTGCTATGAGGAACAAAAAGTGCACATGGTGCAATAAAAAAGGTGCAGGAAAAAAGGACTGTACAGCTGTCTTTTGGGAATATGTTTCGTTGGGTTGTTTGATGAAAATGAAAATATACCTGTTGCCGTCTAGATAACCCCGATAAGTAACTGTAATAAAAGTGTATCATCATGCCGTGAAATGTATGGCCTTGAAAAATGTATTTATGATAAACTCTCTTATTTTATACCTTTTGGATGAAATGGTTTCTATATCTCCCTTTTTTACATCAATTAACGATGACCGGTGTCTTTGGTCGCCGCTTGTGTGGTCTAGACTTATAACACTTGTATATTTTGCATATATCGTATTCTTTATTCTACATTGGCTAGGTTGAGATCTCACAATATATGTTTAACCCCGCCGCATTTTTGCTCCTGTCCCAAGTCAGGAGCCTCTAGCCTTTGTTAGTCTTGTATGCTTTTTAACTTTAGTTTATTCATATGTTTTGGAGTTTAGTGTGAAGTCCATTTTCACTGAACTTTCTTTTCTTAATGTTCTTCGTCTAGTTTGAAGAGCTCTAAATTAATTATGGGACGTCACCTAACCACATAGAGGTAATATACAATAATTATTGTAGAAGGCTTATTTTCTGGGACCTTTTTTTTATTACCATGTTTTTCTATTAAATGGGCAGCTTTTTATTAATATGTTTATGTTTAGTAATGTTTTTAACTTGTATTTTCATAAAATATTATGAAAAAAAATGTTTTATAGATTTCAGTAATAAAAAACCCAACTGATTGTCTAAAAAGATAAGTCCTTTCTTAAATTTAATCAAAAAAACTGTTTTCTTATCCGCACTGGATTGTGATTTTTGTCGTGTGTTAAAATATGCAAGTCAATGTAAAAGTGATTATTAGAATAAAAGATTAGAGAAAAAGATTAGAGAAAAAGATAAAAAAAAAACAGCAACCGTAAGAATATAAATCTTTCAAAATTTCGTTTTCGTGTATGAATTAATTTATTGTTTTGAATAGTCATAAAAATAACTTTTATTACTTTTTTCCTGTTATGTCAGCTTGCCATTTATTGGGGGTAGTTGTTATTGAAATTAAACGTATGTCAAAATCATGAATATAACAGGTAAAGCTTTGATAATCTGGTCACCTGTAATTACATTTACCTGTTAAAATCAAACTTATTTTGTTCAAGATTTAGAAACAGAACGACAGCAACTCTTTTCCAGGTTTTCTCTTCTTTCTTAGTAGCGACAAGGATTTGTATAGTGAGACAATACAAATCCTTGGTAGCGACAGAGACATATAAAACAATGGTAGCGAGTACACATACATTTAGTATTTCCGACAATGTACATTTATTGTTTATATCCTACAATTTATAACTGACGTTTTAATGGTTAGTTTTTAAATCCAAGTCTGAATTTTTACATTTTTTAAAGAAATCTACATAGTTTTAACCGCTAAACCGCGAAGTTGATCGAAATTGAACTGTCACGGCAGAAACAGAAATATTCTCATTACCGTTTGCTCAATATGGAGGTGGAGTACAAGAGGCTTTATTTATACAAGTAAAAATAAACAAAACTTTATTTTTGAACTTGTTATTTATGCAACAATTAGTTGATAGCAGGATAAAAGCCGGTGTTTCGTAGATATTTTTGTTATTCATATTTTCCACTGATCTAGTTCAGCTACATGCTTGCAGTAACGTATGATCATCGTATATAAAAGCGCTCAAACAACTCTTATATATAGGTGGCGTATTTATTAATATTAGAAAATGATTTTTTAATATTAAAAAATCAAGCTGAATATTTAATATTAAATATTCATTTTTTAATATTAAAAAATAAGACCATTTATTAATATTAGAAAATGAATTTTTAATATTGAAAAATGATTTATTAATATTAAAAAATGATTTTTTAATATTAATAAATAGGATCTATTTTTTAATATTACAAATTATTTTTTAATATTAATAAATCGAATATTTAATATTAAAAATTGAATATCATATATTAATAAATAAAACCCATTTATTAATATTAAAAATTACCTATTTATTAATATTAAAAAATATTTATTAATATTAAAAAATCGATTTATTAATATTAAAAAATATTTTTTAATATTAACAAATGATTTTTTAATATTAATAAATAGGGAATAAATTCCACAACGGCTTGCCATATAAAGAAGATCAATAGAAACTGTAAACAGAAAACCCATCAGCAATACAAGATCATCAATTCTATTCTAGTTCACAATGTTGGAGAGTGCTCTATGGAGACGCACATAGACCTAGGTGAGCAACACAGGCTCTTTAGATGCTCTAGTTTTTAGCCACAAATTCAAAGCTTGAATATGGGCAACTGTACGCCAAAACAAACATACGGTATTTATCATATTATAAAAGTTCGACTACTAGTTCGAATATATTGCAATTCGGCTAGCCAGGGTAGAACCCACGACACGAGGAAAGCATGCTACCATGTGATTACCGATGCGTTTCCAGGTCATGGAAGGTACATCTCTGTGTCATTTTAATCGACTTACTGAATGGCCTAGGCAGCAATTATCAACAATCAATTTAAATGAAGCAATATAATTTAAATATATATTTTAATTAATATGAGTAGTTCAAAACAATATTATGAACATTTACAGATGAATGCTACAAATATTTTGAATGATCATGATCCAGTATTTCTTGATGCTGAGACTTTTATTACTAATAGTAGTCTGAGCTTGATTGATTCATACACAGCCGATAATATGTAATTTCTGTTATCTGTTTAAATTTCCTAGTTTCTTCAAACACAAAAAAGATTATATATTAATATATATAATCTTGAATTGATATAATTCTTTGTTTGCTAAGTATTGAATTTTGATTATGTTACCGCGCTGTATGATAAACTAGTATGTGACAGATTTTCATGAACATCAACTATTATTGCAATTTAAATAAAATAAACATTTCAATCAGAATCACTTAATCGCCAGCGACATATTAAAGTTAGGTTCTGATTTTTTTTACTCGAAAAAATATACAAGCACAATGTACAGCATCATAAAATCACTTTAAAACAAAACGACTTTTAAATCAAAATCAGTCATACAGAATATACTACGTTCGAAATAACAACTGAAAGCTACAGAAGCCAGTTTAGCCAGGGATCTTCAATCACTGCTCGACTCGAAGCCAGGCCAGGATGCCAGGCTAAAGCTAGTTTGGCCCACCGAAATTAAACTATGTCGAATATTCGAATACTTCGTTTTGAAGAGATAGATATAAACAATGTCAAAAGTTTGAAAAGATAAATGAAAACACAAAGAGCTTCAAAACGAAAAGGGATTTAATTTTTTGGAGCATAAATCGTCTCAATTCGATTTGGAACCTACGTTTGAAAAAAAGGAGTACTATGTTGCACTGTTATTGGTAAAATGATTTGACCAAACATATTGTTAAGTATAAATTTCAGTATACACATTAACGCAAATATATAGAAACATTAAGAACAGTGGTGTTTAGATCAATCTAATTAAAATATAGAACTCTGATTTCGTTATACTACATACTCGTAAACTTGTGTTTAGATATAAATGAACTCAGAAACGTTCACATTCTTTTAAAGTTTCAAAGATTCCAATGTTCCTTGCTTTCTTCCTTTTATGTTTATGTTTTAACTATATATAATCATACTGGACTTTAAACGAATGAGTACATTTTGTAACTTCATACTTCGAACAATGAAGTTTTCTTCATATCATGTGCAGCAGAAAATCTATGTAGGATTCTCATTTACATTTTTTTTCTTGTTTTTAAAAAAATATCCAATAGATTTTGAAAATTAATTATATAACTGTAATGAACACTACATTCATGTTACTACAAACTTTGATTACATTTCATCCATTGATTCGTTTGTTCAACTTCTCACTAATGATAAGGTTTTTTAATTGTTGTCTTGTCATGTATGCAAAAATTGATTAATAAATTACCCCGTTGAACCGGGTTAGTGAATAATTATATATTCTAAACTAAAAACTGTCTCAAAACATGACAACTGTTATTGTCTAAAATTGATAATTGCATTATTTTTAGTTGTATTAGTTTTCTACTAGACTAGTATCTGAAAATACCATAAGCCTAAGTGTAAACTTGACTACCATATTTTTGACCTAATGATACCATGGTCACGCAAATATCTTGCGCCCTCGCAATCTCAGTGCTAATTTTGTACCACAGCACAGAAACTTATCACAGTTAATAAGAACAGTTTTTTTTAACTTTCATCTTCAAACTTGTTCAGTCTCCAATGCTATTTCAGATTTTCCAGATGTGCCATTCTCTTCTGGAGGTTCAAGCACCCATCTTTTCGGGTTCACATTGTATATATCATTATTTCTTTTATTCATTCTACAAAATAAAAAAAATGCATGTTTTTATAATACTGTATAATAAAACTGAAAATGAAAAAAAGGGTTGGTAATTTTCAGGACAGAAAAAAAAGAGAGACAATTCTTATTTTTGCTCAGCACAAATCACCCATTCTGGCATAGTGTGGTCAGGAGATTTCGGTGTGACTGATTAGAAGTTTGGCTGTTCAACTTCGTCTTTAACTTTTTGATTCGAGCGTCACTTTTGTAGACGAAACGCGCGTCAGTTGGTGTACAAAATTTTAAGCCTGGTATGATTTGTTTATATACAGACATATTCACACCGATAGCATTACTCGACTAACGAAATCTATATTTTAAAGCCTTAGTTGGCCGAGTGGTCTAGGGTGCTGGACACAGTGCAGGCGGATACAGATTTGTTTACAGTGAGATTTTTTTTAATGCTCCCAACTTCTTCTTAATACTGCATATTAATAAATAAATACAGATTTCAGGTACAAATATTCAAATGTAATTCAACTAGTGAATATCTTTACGTAACAGATACATGTGATCATTATTTTCATCTGCATTTCACTCACCTTCTTCTTCGACTGTATATTATGTAAGAAACTACAGCAACAACTACACAAGCTCCTAAAACTCCCCCAACTATACCAGGCCAATATTTCATTGGTCCACTGTTTGTTTCTTTTATCGTTGTATTAATATCGGGTATGTCTGTAGAATGCGTCGGGGGACTGCTTACTACTCCTGGACCACTTGGTCTTCCAGTTTTGTTCATATCATTTGTAGAAAATTGAATTGTCAACAAATTTTCCTGCGTTGATGACAAAGTATTTTTAATTGACTCAGTAGTTGATTTACTGTTATATTCTGAGATTGTATTTGTCGATGATAAGTTTGCAGATGACCTTGAAGAAGTGTGTTTCTCAATTGTTGTGACTATGTATACTGACGTATACGGTTCCGTAAATTCACTGGTTACTTGTGATTTTGAATTATTTGTAACTAAAGACACAGATGATCCTTGATTAATTGTAGATATGTCTACATGCGTAGTTTGTGGTTTAAATGAAGAAAACTCTTGGGTTGATATATCTGTTGTACTAGGTGTACTTGTATCATCGTTTGGTTTTGTTGTCGTGACCGAGTCTGTAAGTTGACTCAATTGTGTTGTCATTTCATTGGACTGGGTTGTTTCTTCAATATTCATTGGCGTAGTAATATCTGATGTTACTTTTTCTGTTGTATCTGTCATTAGAGTTGTGCAATTCAGAAACTTTCCCATATTTTGAACTTCAAATCGCCCACATTCGTATGGACTTGATGTTGTTTGTAACACAATATCGGTTGTGTTAACTTGATTGTTTGGTTGCAGGATATTAATACATTCGGATTCGTTTTGATGTAATACGCAGTCCCTACTAAAGCAGCCACTTACAGTTTGAATTGGTTTCAGACATTCATAACGAAATATCATACTCAATCTAAAACAAAATACAAATTTCAAATCACAAATAACTATAACCTTGCCATTCAAATTTTATCATATCTGTTAAATATTCTGTAACGTTCCATCTTGAACTTCACCTACATGACTTCTTTAAAACATGTTTAGATTCGAGGTTAGTTGGAAGCTTACGGCTTTTCTCGCCTTTCCATAATTGAAAACCATATAATAGTAGTAAACTATTGATGTTTTCCCCCAATAAACATGCTCGGCAATCGTACCACATCTTCTTATTTTTATATTGTGTCGTATGTTATACTACTGTCTAATTCGTGGTTAATAGTTTCCTTGTAGGCAGTGCTAAAGAAACGAAACAGTCAATTCTTCAAATATTTCTCATTGGGTTAAATTTTCAGTAGAAACACTGATTTGGCCGTCTTCTATTTAAACCCAAAAAATTGCGTTACATTTTTTTTAATTGACCGCAAGATCAAGATAGAAACAAAGATAGCCACAGTAACGGTTTAAAATCAATGATGGCTAAATTCCCCTTTCCTTTCTTTATCAGTTAAACTATATGATATACTTATGTTATCATTTTTTATTTAAAGTGTCATAATATAAGAGAAAAGAAATTAGTGTGTTTTTACTTTCTATAAAGTTTCAATTTATGTTTTAGGTAATGGTATTTATTGTCTGTAATTAATCTAAAAGAAGCCTTCTTTCTCACTTTATTAAAAGTAAAGTATTGCTGTAAATATCCACATAAAACGAAAGAGGTGATATTTAAGATCTTGTGATGCTAATTGGATTTTTATAAAAGGTTGCTTCTTACAAGAAAGGTACGTAGTTGTAACGTTGTAAAATCACAACGAAAGGTTAACGGACGCCATCACAAATTAGTTGACCGTTACAAAATATCTGTGCAACATATGACAAGTGATAGTCTATATTCCACAATCCCGACATCCTTTTTCGTCAATGATTTGTCATTTGGTGCACCCCATTACCGAATACGACAGTACATCAGTTTAAATTGCCATTCTGGGCTTAATGGTGTATAATATATCATAACATAAAAGTGCTCAGTCTTGTTAAGAGTAAAATTTAGTTTTCATATATTGTCTGTGGTAAATTCGATATTGTTCATACATTTCACTTGCAGTTAATCAAGTGCAGCTGATTTAACTTTTAGACAGGTCACTAGTCGAACCAGCCACTTAACAGTTTAAAACGCGAAGAGTCTGAGCAGTTCAAAATTTTCTGCAGTGAAATGCTTGAAAATGATGTGAAAAACCAAGAATTTGTATAGTAAGTACAAATCCTTGGAAAAACTTAATACGGCTTACGGTTTTATTATTCAGCTTTTTAAGATCGGTTTAGATTTAATCCTTATCAACATATTTTACTCTGAGATAGTTTTCAGAAATTTCAATCATTCTTTGATCAAGAATTAGTTAGTATTGTTTGACCCATAGCTGCGTTTTTGCCGTCTGTAATGTCTGTAATACCGATTTCTTTAAAAGAAATCTTTTCTATGGCTGAATGTTTATTATGAGTTTTGTCTATACCATAAACGTATTCCTCCGATTAAAATCATATCAGTGAAGATGAGACAAGTAAGCTGATTTAATCTTACCATATCTCAGTACTCCTTTTCGTGCAAGAAAGCTGGTCAGGTGTGGTTGTCGTGTTTTCGTTCATTTTAGATAAGTATGTGTTTTTGCGGAACTATGGTATACTTTGGTGAAATAATCTAAAACGATTAGAACTTGACATACGGTGTGCATGTTTGTCATATGTTGACTTCTGCAGGTTAAATTGGTTGTTTTCTTAATGTTAGATTTCTGTTTAATTAACGTATTTTCGCTACTTTATTCATTTGTGAAAGATGTCTTTTAAGAGATTTATGAAGGTGGTTATAAATATGCCTTATTTGTTATTTCTCCAGTCTTTCAAAAGATTACCAATGTGATATAATGACGGCATATAACGTACTTACAAAGAAAATGAATGAGACCTAGTTCCAGTAGCGTTTTTATGATGATACTGCCAAGATGGGTTTTGAATATTTAAGGCAACTGTAAATTTGTCGACAATTTGTAGTCCTCCATCGCCGTTGTCATCATCAAGAACTGTGATCGAAATATTGACCACATACTGTTGAGAAGAAAGCATAATGAGATAAAAAATACTGATATTGATGGTGATAGATATCCAACAACATATTCATATAAATCACACGTCTCCGTTTTGTCAAGTTAATTTGGAAATGGCAGTATTCCCAGCCTAGTGGTCAACACTTTGGTGCTAACATGAAATATCTTTGATGCAGTCATTTTCTATATACAAACTGTTCATAGAATGTGAGAATCATTCGAAACAATAAGGAGTTTCTACCCTCATACATAGATGGCTTTAGTCAGATTTGGCACAACTTTTTGTTGAAGTTTTATGTTATGAATGCTCCTTAACATTGAAACTGTTGTGCTCCATCAGTTTTATGAGTCACTTATGAGTCAATTGTAGACGAAACGCGCTTCTGCCTAACTAACTTATAATAAGCCTAGTATCTTTGATGACCTTAATACATCCACTGAGTTGATACACCGAAACCATTGCCGGGTGGACTTTTAATTCATCTCAAAGGATGTATCACCATGTGAGTAGCCAAGGCTCTGGTGCTGATATGAAATATCATTGAAATGAAATATCATCGAGGTAATTTTCTGCTTTAATTTCTGTTCATAAAATGTTGAAATCATTAGAAACACTAAGGTCATCCATCCTTACGCATAGATACCCAAATTTGGCACGAATTTTGGGATTTTTGGGGGTTTTCAATGCTCTTCAACACGGAAATTGCTTTGACCTTCCATCTGTTGTAATTCGAACGCCACTGAATAGTGTTACATGTAAATAAAACGCGCGTCAAAGCTAACCTTATCAGAAGCCTGGTGTCTTTGAAGACTGTTGCCGGTCAGTCCTTTTGTACAGTAACGTTTTATTATTGATGGACTGTCAGTACATGGGGGTACTATTTGCAACATAGCCATGCATACTTATTTATTTTTATCTATTTTTTATTTATTTTTGGTCTTTTTAACTTTTTTGAACCGAGCGTCACTGGTGAGTCTTTTGTAGACGAAACGCGCGTCTGGGTACACATTTTTAATCCTGGTATCTATCTATGATAAGTTTATTTTATTTATATGAATGAAGCTGTCATTGGGAAAAAAATACGACCGTTGTAAACTACGTTCACGTTCCTAAGAGTTTGACTCGTGAAATTTTGAAAAACTTCCATGTAAATTTTTCTAGAACCCAAATTCATTACAATCCATACCGTACGTATATAGTTGTTATCATAAGATTGAGAATGGAAATGGGGAGTGTATCAAAGAGAAAACAACCCAACCAAAGAGCAAGAAACAGCCTAAGGCCACCAATGGGTCTTCAACACAGCGAGAAAATCCCGAACCCGGAGGCGGGCTTCAGCTGGCCCCTAAACAAAAATGTGTACTAGTTCAGTGGAAATGGACCATGCATGATTCTTTTAATTCTGCTCACTTTTCTACATTCACATTTTGTGAACTTGAAAATTGTTAATTTCAACTCACCGGCCACGTAGCAAACGTGAACATTAGCGGGTTGATTATTTCAGGATCTTTGTTGTTACTCAACTGAAAATGCTCAGCGGCACTGTTTTCTATTGGTTTTGTAGAGAGTTTACGGCTTTGTTGTTCACTGGTAAAATAAAAATTGTGTTAATATATTTTCCTTATTAAGATAATGCAAATCTTTCTGGTCAATGAACAGAATAATGTGAATAATATGAGCTTTTAATTTACTCTTTAAATTGAAATTAAGATATATGTTCTGCTTTGGAAAAATCTCTACAAAACTTTTGAAAATTAAGCATAATCATTAACGGCAATTATCTCACAGGACGCTCTGTAGTGGAGCTCTAATCAACAAACAAATTATCAATTGACAACCAAAATTCATCAACACAAACAAACAAAATACTCAAATGACCTTAGCAATATATATTACGTTGTGGGGGATTGAACTATATGGGTAAAAACAAGTTATAAACATTTGTCAATAGAATCTACATACACTAAAAAATACATATTTTAAATTTGTAAGGAAGTTCTTACATAGATATACCCTGCACAGTAACGTTGAATATTAGGTCACACATGTCTTTACATGGCGGTACCGTGTCATCACAACAATTTCCGCTCATGTCCGTGTTGTTTGGATTCAAATATCCCAGAAACCCGATGTATAATTTGCTTTCTGAAGAAGCAATAGTTATCTAAAAAAAAAGAAAGTAACAACATTAATGTCAATTATGAGTGCGCAGTTTAATATTCGCACAAACAAGTATAAACAGTGTATTCAAATCAGGTAAGCAAACACTTTTTTTATGAGATGATTGAAAAAAATCAAAGAGGACAACTTAAATATGCATTGAAGACTATTTAGAACATTTTAAATAAAATTGCCTGTCTGTCTAGTATCGACTGCTTTGATAACAAAATCAACGAAAATTGGTATCCCACGAATAATAATGAATCCTCAGTATATAATTCTATTTTTAATCAATTATAAATTAAAAACTTTGTATCATTTTAATAGAAACTAAGGTTCCAAGTATATATCGCAAAGTTGGTCGTAATAGATTGTAGCAGCTCATTTAGGTCCCTTTTCCTTAATTTCCCTCTAGTGTATTTATTCATTGGTATATATGGCCCTTAAATATGGTAGACCGAGAAAATCGCCAAAATAAAACGCAGCAAAATCTGCCGTCATACAACATTTCTTTTTTTTTGTCGATTTGTTTCATTTTGATTTCTCAAAAACGTTACCAAATGTAAAATGGTGCTATTTTCAGGGAATGTAGAAATTTTGTTTACCGATGTACTTTTTTCTCAAAACATAGAAATGCTAAGTCAGCGGCGCCGGCGTAACTATTTGTACAAAGCTTCATATTTCAGAAGGAAGAAGCCCTGGATACTTCATATCATATATCCACATGCTTAAGGATTATCGTCTGTCATATGTTCATTGTCTTTACACTGATGAATCTTACGAAGACGAAACGCACGTCAGGCGTACCATATTATAAGCCCGATGACCTTTGATAAGTTTTTTCAACCACTGGGTCGATGCCGTTTTGTCCCCGTGTGTATCACCATCCCAGTAGTCAGCACTTTCGTGTTGACATGCAATATCATTGATATGTTTATTTTTGGTAAATTTTATGTATATTGAATTTTGAGTTATTCGAAACACTAAGGGTTTTCTACTCCCGAGATTACCTTAGACCACAACCTTTCGGAATGTTACGACTTCACATTTGATTTGACCTTCGAACTGTTCAATTCGAGCGCCACTGGAAAGTCTTATGTAGACGAAACGCGCATCTGGCATACAAAGTTATAATCCTGGTATCTTTGTTGAGTTCAGCAACTGCTTAAAAACTGTATAGTTGTTAATATGTGAATTTATCATTTATTATAATAATTGGATTACTTTATTTGGTATATGAGATCATTTCTAGGTCTTCGTGTCCGTCAGACAGGATTCACCTGACCTTGACCTCATTTCATCAGTGATCAAGGTTAAGTTTTTGTGCTCGTCCATATCTCAGCAATGTTCAACTATATTTGGTCAAGTTGATGTATGGAATGAATTGTAAAATGTACATGTTCGTCGAGCAGGGTTCATCCGACCTTGACGTGATTTAACTGGATCATTCATAATGCTGATTATATGTGATGATTGTAGTAAAATCTTTATCTTTAAGATTTTTAACTATATAGTCAATCATGATCAGTAAAACAGGCGAGCCATTCCTGCGTGTGTACGTTTGTTCTTATGTAAGCACTAAGTGACGAACTTTTTAAATCAGATGTCTGGTCTTTACATAAACGGAATTCAATAAAGTGAAATGACTCGTGTCTAGAACAATTGAAAACAAAATAATCTTTTTACGAACTAAAGTTTTTCATCCTTTTTTCTATTGAAGAAACCATACAGATTAAAAATTATTTTGAAACCACAATACATTATATATATTTTAAAATAACCCGTTTTTAATATACGTGAAAAAAACATATTGTCGTATTCTGATTAGAAGCTTGCTACAGTGATGTTTGAAGGTGTTATTGATAAAAAATATTTAAAAAAAAACACATACAGATCTTTCCATATATCAATTTTCAGAGTGTTACTGTAAGTCGTAAGCATGACACGTTTCATAGTAATCTAACATTGTTCAACTACTAAGTTTTGGAGCACACCGGTAAGCGCGTCTGTCGTACCAAATAATAAGCATAATAGTATTTTTGATGTGTTTTCCCCTACTCATCATCACTGGAAAGGAGTAGGTCCGGTAAGGGCCGATTTTTGCATCAAATTTCAGGTTCATCTGATGAAAGATTTTGGTCACTTTTTAAACACTTGAGTGTCTACTTCAGTCGATTCAATCAGTTTATGTGACAGATTTGAACTGATTTTATCATTAAAGACGCTCATATTCAAGCTTAAATATGAAAAATCTATCAAATATGCCATAATATGTCACTTTTCAGATGGTTTTTGTCAAAAATGAAAGTGGCCGCATCCGTGTTCACTCTCAACCTTTATATATGTTATGTATTATCATCAAATATAACTTGCATTTAAATATTAAGAATGAACACAAATGCGGCCACTTCCATTTAAGACGGAAACCGTCTAAAATTTAACTCAAATGCTAAAATTGTGGAGATTTCAGTAATTTAGCCGATGACTTAATGATGCTAGTACCCGATATATATGCATTGTATTGTCAAAAACTGCCCATATTTATGTAGCAGAAGTATTCTACTTTCCAATAAATAGCTAAAAGTTTACATTTAAATATTTTGTAAAACTGCTATATTTTGGGGCCAAAAAGAGGTCTTACTGGACCGACCTACTCCTTTACCAATATAAAAATATTGTCTTTAGTGGAGTATATCATTTCAAAAGCATGCGTCTGTCCAGGTTTAAAAAAAGAAAGGAAACATAACTCCTTTACACAGCTTTAATAAAACTCCGTAACCTTCTGCCTGCAACTGAATGTGAATGAAACTGTTGCATACT